ATATATATATATATATATATATATATATATAAATTGTGTATATATTGTGATTGGCACTACAAGCACGTAAATCATAGCATGTGTCCATTTCATCACGTGTGTGAATGCATTGCTTATTGAGTGTTTAGGATGAATGAAATATGATTGTGAATGATTTATTGATACCTTATTATGAATATTCAATTGTACATTATACATAATAAGGATGTATTTGTTATATTCTCTATGTTTGACTATTCAACCTTATTTTACATTGTGAGTCAAAGTGAGATATTTTTCACTTTTCTTTGTTTTTGTGTTGTTATTTATGTATGTTGTTGCAAGTGAGACTCATTAAGACATTGATGATGCTGGTGATGAGGCTTAGTCTTTGTTCCGGGAAGTGCTCTAATAGAATATGTGTTATCGGTGTGTAGATTATGATTGTTTCTTATTACTGTTATTTATTTTCTAGGACACATGATGTTGGACTACTAATTATGTTTTACTTTGAAGTTGTATTTCTGTATTGATGGGAGGAGTTGATGAACCTCTACGATAAATATAATAAAATATTTATAACTTAGTCATTGGTCTTCATACAAAAACCCATACAAATATTAGAGAAAGAAAATTTAGAGAAAATAGAGACATCTTATAGTCTTTGTCTTGTTTGAATGTGTGAATTAATGAAGCATCACATACTTTATATAGATAAGGTCAAAAACTCTTTCATAAACTTAGAATGTAACTGCTCTTTTAATTTGATTCCTCAATTAAAAGCTAATAATTAGAAATTTGAAACTTATAACAGTTCTATTAATTATGATCATGAGTCACTTAATATTTATATTCTAACAAGAATTTGTTACTTAATTTTTATGCATGAATCCAATTTTAAGATAAGAAGCCATTTATATTGAATATTATTATGTGTATGATAGAGGGTGTCACAATGCTTAACACAATAGAGAAAACTCATCTATCAACTATTTTTACTACAATTAATACTACTTCTATTCCTTTTTAATTATCTATTTTTAATAAGATTTTATTTTTTTTATTTGTTGTTTTTAAAGTCTAAGATAACATTAATTACAATAAAAAAATATCAACATTAATTACTTTTTGTCAATTATACTTTACTAGTGCATGTACTCATACGATGCATGGAACAAATTAAATAATGAATGAAAAAAGTAATATTTTATTATTTTAAACTTATATAAAACTTTAAAAGAATAATAACAGATAAAATTTATTATATAAAAAAAATATTTTAGCTTCTCTCGATAAAACAATATAAAACTTATTATGTTTTTTTTGTAATTTTTTTTATTATATTTGGCTCATTTTTTCTATAAGTTTAAAAATTTTATTGTATTGTAATGAGTTTCAAAATTGTATTATCTTTAAAACTATTCAACTCATAAATAGTAATATTTTGGCTTGTATAAATAGTGATATAAACATGAAAATCACTATTGAAGTAGAATTTGATAATATTTTTAAATAATTGTTAATAATTATTCTAGTGGCATCGCATTGTTAATAATTGTTCCGATCGTAAATCTATCAACATCACATTTGAGATATTGTGCACTTTAACGCTCATTAAATCGTCATGATTTTCTTCTTAAAAAAACGTCTTGATGAATTCAGGACTTAAGGTATTGTGAGCTTTGATACTCATTAGATTATTATGAATTTGTCCTCGAAAAAATGCATCAATTGATTAAGGAGTTAAAGAAAGAAAGTGTTTATAAATTTTTTTTAGCATCAATTTCTGAGCAATGTAGTCATGTGGGACTTTTATTATAGTTATTATTATATGAGTTAATCATCTATACATTAATAGTTTTTTTTACACGGCAACCAATCATATCTCTTAATAGTATCATGTTAGTTGCTTATTTAATAAAATAAAAATAAAATAAAATAATTTAAAAGATATGATTGGTTATCAGTATAAATAACTTTATACCGACAGTCTATAGGTGATTAACACTTATTATATTATCTTATATGAAATACTTACTTTGTGTGCATTCATGATCATCGATAAATATTAGTCACTACTTTTAATAGTAGGTATTTCACATCAATATCATGCTTACAAAATAAATAAAATTATCTCTTCTTATATATCATTTTCATCATCAATCAATTATCATGATCCTGTATAGTTTGAATTTAATACATGACGATAAAATTTATACTAGAAATCAATGTTAATCAAAAATAAAATTATGAAACTAAAATTTGGTTTTAATGGTTAAAATTATTCTAAAATATAATATAAGATTAATACTAAAATGTAAAATATAAGAAAAATGTAATTAAAATATTTTATTTTTAAATAAAAAATTACAAAATTTTAAAATTAATTAAAAATTAATATTTTGTTGATAAAATAAAATTAAAAATTACATAAAAGAATAATGTAAATATGGGTAATTTTTGTTATTTTATATTTATCAACTACGTTTACATGTAATTCTACTAAATTCTTATAATTTAATAAAAAAAGCAACTTTCAATTTTTAATCAACAACTTTTAGATGTCAACTGGCTTTTTAAATTTTATAGAGATTAAAAACTAAAAATATTATAAAAATCAAAGTCAAAATTTATTATTTAATAAGGAATAAAAAAATATTTAAACTAAAATAATTATCTGTTTTTCATAATTATAAACACAACCAGTGACATTATTCAAGCTTTTTAATCTAATAATAATTTTTTTACTCTTTAATTCAGCAATATTATTCACGGGGAATACACTAAAATAGAAAAGACAAATAAATATAGCCAATATTGAGAAACTCTTGAAAAGAAATACAAAAGGTGAAAATTAGAATGAGAGGCTAATAGCCCATACTATAAGTCTATAACCAATGTTATACTATACATTACACATTTCATTGCATCTTAGAAAAATAAATATGTACCTATGCTATTCGAGATGAATTGATCTATCTTATCTTGACATATCCTTTCCTACATCACTAGACAGTGGACACAATCATGCCACGTAATCACAAACACAACACACACACAATCCACTTTTCTCTCTAGGACAACTAAAATAATCGACCCGTAAGTTGTAACACTTCTGAGTGTCATCACCACAACATGGCTGCAACAGCTGCAGGCATAGCTTCCTTGTTTTCTTCTTCCATCAACACTGTCAAATGTCTTCGTTCCAAGAACTGCTCCATCATCGATCCCCTCATGACTACAGTGCCCTCAAACCGCATGTTTGTTGCTTCTGTGCCACACTTGGAACCTTTGTCCATTGGGGGTGCGGTTTCACACAAGTTGTGGGGGCCTAGAATTTCTGCTGCTGTTGCACAAGAAGAGGTTGTTGTGGCTGATGATGCTGGTTTAGATGAAGAAGAAGTGGAAGAGAATGGAGGAGAAGGGGTGGCAGAACAAGACTCTGAATCCTCTGCTGCCACCAAGCTTTATTTTGGGAATTTGCCTTATAGTGTTGATAGTGCAACACTTGCAGGGCTAATTCAGGACTATGGTAGTGCAGAACTAATTGAGGTATTATAGATTTTAATTTGTATACATGTCAGTCTAAAATTTTGTATTATCAACCAATCATATATCATTGTTGGTATGATTTTTTGTAGTTAAAAATTTAACAAACTTACCATATGTATATATATGTGTGTGGTGGTTTGTGATTGAATGATAATTTAAAGAGTTTGAAAACTATTTACTCATTCTTATATTTTTACAACTTTATCTGCATGAGTCAATTAAGTAGCTTGAAATTGAATGCATGAGAATTGAGATAGTATACTAGGAGTGAATTTATAAATTTCTTTGATTTGAATTACTATGCTTTTAAAGGCATCTTACTTTGGAGGGGAAGAGAAGTACAAAATTTTCATTTCTAATTAATATTCTCTAATTTGATAATTTATTTTAAAGTAAAAGAAATAAAATAGTAGATTAGCAATTTAGCATTATCTTAACGTGTTAATCAAGAGTTACTTCATCTTCATGAGATAAGCCTTCACAGTTTTTTAGTATCTTGATTTTCCTTCCTCTAGTGGTCTTGTCTCATTCTTCTCATCTATAAGGTCATTGTTTCACAGTTTTTTACTACCTTGATTTCCTTCCTCTAGTGGTCTTATCAGTCTCATTCTTCTCATCTATACGGTCATTGTTTCTTTCTATTGAGCTTCTATTAATCACATTGACAACCCCTCTTTATAATGTGTTACATAATGATTTTTTATTCCATAACTAGAGCATTTATTCGTTAACATACATCCCTCAAACTTGCATTTTATGATTTGATTATCTTGTGGAGTTGATGCATTCCCTAATTTTCAGTAATGTTAATGATTTATTTACATATATATGTAGGTTCTTTACGACAGAGAAACTGGAAAAAGTAGAGGCTTTGCATTTGTGACTATGAGTTGCATTGAAGATTGTAATACAGTAATAGAAAATCTTGATGGAAAAGTAAGGATCACTTCCTCCTATCTTTGTCCACCATTTGCTCACATTCTGTGTTCATTTGGTTTGTTCTGTTTTTTGCATGATGAAATTTGTGAATGAACTTCTCAGGAGTTCCTGGGCAGAACTTTGAGGGTGAACTTCTCTAACAAGCCAAAACCAAAAGAGCCCTTGTACCCTGAAACTGAAAACAAGCTTTTTGTTGGGAACCTTTCATGGACTGTAACTAATGAGAGTTTGACACAAGCCTTTCAAGAATATGGAAATGTGGTTGGAGCTAGAGTCTTGTATGATGGAGAAACTGGAAGGTCGCGTGGCTATGGCTTCGTTTGCTATTCAACAAAAGAAGAGATGGAATCTGCCCTTGCAGCCTTGAATGATGTGGTATATATTCTTCTTTCCATCCCTTCACTCTTGTTCTGGTTGTGCATTGATAACTGTTATATCAATATTTCCACAAACAAAACTTAGATACAATTTGGTGTTATAATGTTTTGCATTAAAGATTCGTATAGGTTATGAAATGAAACTCTAATTTTGATTAGAGAATGACACCAAAAACACATAAATTGTTCAAATATTTAATTGTTAGTGGTAGAGACTTGTGACCAAATTGTTTAGAGTTTGAATCTTTATCTTATGTATGAATAGACTATAATGGGAGTTGAATACCGATCTTATATGCGATCATAGTCCTTCAAAAAGATTAGTCATTGTTTTAAGTAATAGATATTTTGTATCAATATCATGATAAAAAAACAAGTTCATAGATGAAGGGATAAAATACAAAGATTTTATTGTGAAAGAAAACATTTAATGCTTATTCTTTTAAGTGAAAGCATATAAGAGGGTGTATTTAAAGCCTTTTAACTTGTGTATCTAGTGCATAGGATACAAAATTCAATGTTATTTTGCTCATTGCTTTTATGTTAATTGGGCTCTTCAGGAACTAGAAGGACGGGCTATGCGTGTAAGCTTGGCTCAAGGAAAACGTGCACAAGGTTAATAGAAACTTCGGAAGGCTCTGAAATGTTCAACAATGGTGCCTTAGAAATGAGAAGGGGATGCTAGTGGACCTATCATGATGCACCTGCTGCAATTTGCTGAGGAATTCTTTTTCATTTCTTGTGGTGTATAAATTATTTACTCCCCATTTTCGAAAGATCTGCTGACCCGAATGTTGTTGTATTTTGTGTTTAACATTTTTGCTAATGCTAATGTTAGCCTACATATTGCTTCCTTCTTGGGTCACGTCACACGAGTCATACATTGAATCAATCACATGCTCTATTCTATGTAACATTTGTTATGAAATAATCAGCACCTGAGGCTGAAGGTGTGAAGTTTCGTACCATAATGAAATGACAAACTTCAAAATACATTTTCTTTTTGCTGCAAAATTTGAGTCACTTGAACTATAATGTTAGTATACGGAAATCATTTTGTTTGCTTACTTCCTTATATGCCAAAGTAGCATGCAGTTCTGCATGAACAACTTTTAACTTAATTTGCTTACTTCCTTATATTTTAAAAGAGTAATGTTATATTAAAAGATAGTTAATATATCTAATTAGCATGAGCTAAAGGAATTTCAATATCGTCAGTGAATGGAGGATTTAATTACAAAATTTTTGAATTATAAATTTTTTAAAAGTATTTTTAACTATAAGGACCTAATTAAAATTTTTACAGAATTATAGAAACTGGCAGATTTTTTTTAAAATTAACGAAACTCTAATGTTAATTTAGTTTTAAAATATTAACATTTAAACATAAATTACTTTCCCTCAAAACCAGTTAGAATCAATTTCTTCCTTTTGAGGAAATTACATTGATATTCTTTCAAATTTCGAGAAATTGTACATAAGTCTTTTTTTTTAATAATATTTATAACATTCTTCACAAATGACACACTGTATTATTTTTCAAATAATTAAAGATATTTGTGAAATGTTTAAAAATATTATGTAATATTTTTTAAACAATTAAAAAATTAATATAAAAAATAGAGTGTGCATGCAATTTGACAAAACATCATAAATATCAATGTAATTTACTCTTAAACTTGATTATTTATAGTGTCATAGTTAGACCAGACTTGCCTCTAACAAAAATAAGTGTAATGGAAAATATTGAAATATTTTTTTGCAAAACTCTTCTAAAATTGACAAATTATTTATTAAGAAAAAAAAGTTATTATGCACTAATAATGTAAAATAATAAATAATTTATAATTTGGTGAATTGTAGAAGATTCCCGTCTATTAGTTAGTTATGAGAAGTGGAAACATTTTAGGATTTTCCGAAATAATAGCTCAAGAGATAATGAAGAGTGTGGTGTGGAATGGAGAGTCACGTTCATGAGCAGTTATGGCGCGCTTCGATATTCGTGGCTCAACCTCTTAAGCCCTCTTCATGCCCAATCCTTGGCGCCAGACCCTTTTCCCTTTCCCTCGTCTCTTGCTCCAAACGTTGGGATTCCAACGCCGAAACCTTTCGACCCCCCAATGGAAAGCAAAGAGAACAAGAAGATGGGTATGGCAAGAAGAGACGCTGGTGGTCTGATCAGAACGGGGAATTCGATGAGTACGATGATGAAGAAGAAGAAGATTCTAGTGGGATTTGGGAACAAGCCACTGATAGTGTCTGGATTGTCCAGGTGAACTAATTTTAGTTTAATTTTTTCATGCTTAAACACTTTTATATTATGTAATTACTCCAACAATAACCACAAATCAAATGATTTTATCTTTATATCAAACGATTAAGGCTATAAATTTTTAAGAAATTTGAAAACTATTTGATGTGTTATTAAATAATTTGTAAATTTCTTAAAATTATAAATTTGATTTATGTATTAAGATTGTTAAAATTTGACGAATTAGAAGTTAGACTAACTCTAAAGGAAGCGTATCTCTCCTCATCTATCATTGGATGACAAAATATTTAGCTAGCCTTTTTAATTAAATTAACTCAATTTTACTGTTTTTTTGTGTCTGATTACATGTTGGGACTAGTTACCACTATATAGTTTAAAATCACCTAATTATTTTGTTTCCTGGATTAGCAAGTGTTCATAATTCTGGTCAATTACTAGGTAACATGCATTTAAACTTTTTAATCTACAAGAAAAAATAATAACACTTAATTATTAAATATTATGTAGAGACCAGTTAAGATCATGGAGTCAATATCGCCTAATAATTTCTTCTTGTTTATGTGAGAAGTATGTGTTTTGGTTGTATTTTTCTTCATCACGTGTGTAACTGCTTCCTACTGTATATCCATATATTCCCACGACTGCGAGATTTGGCCATTATTATTTGGTTTAATTATTTTTTTTTTCTGAATAGTTTCATAAATTTTTTACCGTTTAATTTCTATAGTTAAAAACATTCTATTTTAGTTCCTACATATTATTTTTTTCCCTTTTAGTATCTATCATTTAGTTTTATAGGGATTAAAAGGAAAAGTTTATGCGATTATAGTGCTAAAAAGGAAAAAGTGATATGCATGGGAACTAAAAAAAAAAAAGTTTTAATTGTAGAGACTAAAAGGCAAGATATATGTAATTGGAGAAAAAGGTAATTAAATATTATTTGCTTATTTGAATGATGCAATTTTGTTTTTAAGTGGAAGAAGTGGGTCGTTTATGAGAAAAATTGGCGTTTTTTATTTATTTACTTTTGACATAGAGAATATTTTTCTTTTTAATTTTTGGAATCGGTGGATACAGATGGAAGTATATCGGAAGA